GAAGAAAGCTGTTCATGAAGTCCTCTCTAATGTCTGAGATGACGGGGCTGTTTGTATAATGTCTGGTGGTGTCTTAGCAGTTGTAAGGAACAAGTGGTTATTTTGATCAAAACCAGTATTAATTACAGTTTGTTTGCTTCAACAGGCCACTTCTGCATAATGAAAGGATAGACCTCAGCCTCCTGTCTTTATTCCAAATTTCTATTTGGGCTTGATGTATACCCTCACAGGGGACGTTTCCTCTTTGTGAGGAAGGAAACAGCAGCTTGTATGGAAAACAGATATATTCACCACACTCAGACATCATTCCTGGAGGGCTGTTAATGCATTTGCTTAAGAAAATGGGAAAGAAGGTGCTTTTAGAAACCTGCCCTTTGGCCTCATGTTATCTTGACTCATGGGAAGAGCTGAGGTTAATTCAGCTTGATCATTAAAGGAAAGGAAATAGGTTGGAACTTGAGTAAATGGGGATGGATTAATCAATAGAATTTTAGTAAAATTAATGGGAAATAATGATATAATAGATTTGAGAGGCTTTTAAAAAAATCCACTGCGGATAATGAAGGTGATACAGGAAGTCTGTCCACTTGTTTTATTGCTGTGTTATGTTGGCCTCCTCTCGGTCGCCCTGAAGATGCTTTTGCTACACATCAGTTTGCAAGCCTTGCTCAGGCCATGGGAAGGATTCCTGAAAGAACTGGATAATAAAAAAGCAGGAGAATCACAGAATCCTACAACCATGAGGTCCTGTAGTCCATCGATGTCACACGACAATTCCTTCAAATATCGGAGAAAATAGGTCTTCTCTTCATTGAGATCTCCAGGGAAGGATATTTGGTTTGGTCACTCAGTAAATATTTCATAAAAGTTTCCTTTTCTTGAAATTAGTTTGTCTTCTCTTTGATTTCACTCCATATCTTCATAATGACTGGTAGTTATTATTCACTTTGTACTTAAAACAGTCTCCCTTGGGGGCACTCAGGTGCTCAGTGGGTTAAGCATCCAACTCCTGGTTTGGGCTCACATAGTGATCTCAGGCTCTTGAGATCGAATCCCACGGTGAGCTCCACACTCATCATGGGACGCGATGCTTGAGATTCTCTCTCTCTCTCTCTCTCTCTCTCCTGCCCCTCCCCCGGCTCACGCTTTCTTGCTCTCTCTCAAATAAATCTTCAACAAAACAAAACAAAACCAGTCTCCTTTGCCAGTTTTTGCACCTTAACCTGCTTTTTCCTGGGAAATAAGGTGAACAAAGTTTAAGTTTCAATTTTTTTTTTCCTGGGGCCTTGTCCTAGGCTCATCCCTGGGAAGATTCTAAATTCATAATACATGATATTTGGCCTTCTTGGTTTCTTATCAGCTCCCAAGAGTATGTGTGTGGATAACCACAGAGAAACTCTTAATTCTTGGGGTTTTCCAGCAGTGCAGCTACAGCCTACCACCCCCTGCCCCACGCCTGACCACAGCGGTGTCATTGAAAGCTTACAGCTTGTGTCTGTTGTGTGGTCAATACATGGCTTTTGAGGGACCTTTCCTTCCGAGCAACTCCCATATTCAGTACTAACCACAGAGTTTCATAATTCTTTCATTGTTGTTTTGCAACACAGCCTTCAGACCAACGTGGCAATAACATTAATGTATTTTTTTTCCCTGCTTCATTTCACAATCAATTTGAGGCATTGCTGAAAACCTTGATGTAGGACTAAGTTAAAAAATGGCCTATAATCACTATTGCCTCATTTTTTGTTTTAGAATTTTTCCCCTTTTTTGGACAAACAATACGGTACATGATACAAAATGTTTTTTTCATGCAGAAAGGTCCACAGTAAAAGGCTCTTTGCCCTTCCCGACCTTACACATCCAGTCTCTATCTCTGCAGGGAACCAGTACCAGCAGCTTACTCTCTTGTCATTTCAGAAATAATTTAAACATAAACCAGTTTTCTTGGCTCTTTTTCTTTTTCTTTTTTTTTTTTTTAAGTTTTATTTACTTAATAAGTTTAATCTCTGCACCCAGCATGGGGCTTGAACTCACAACTCTGAGATCCAGAGTCATATGTTCCACCCACTGAGTCAGCCAGGTGTCCCTGTTCTTTTTACACAAAACTTTGTATGCTGTTTTACACTTGGCTTTTATCACATAACAATTTATCTCGGAGATATTTCCGGAGTTAGATATAAAGAACTTTCTCATCTTTGTGGCTATTGTTTAAAGCTTCCGTAATTTATTTAACTAGTTCCCTGTTGACAAGCACTAAGCTTTGCCTCAGTATAAATGGTGAGGGATGGTAAATGTTTTGAAGAAAATAACAAGGATATCTACAAACCAAGAAAAGATAGATGCTGCCTAACTAGTGGGGGACACGGATGCCCCTGTGTCACCACCATCCACACAAACCCCTAGTGGTGCCTGGGTGGCTCACTGGGGTAAGTGTCCGGCTCTTGATTTCAGCTCAGGGTTGTGAGATCGAGCCCCATCTTGGGCTCTGTGCACAGTGGGGAGTCTGCCTGAGATTCTCTCTCCCTCCCCCTGCTCTCTCTCTCTAAAATAACTAGGCCTTTAAAAAGAATCTTAAAAAATAAACAGTCCTACAGAGAAGAACCTTGTAGTCACGTGATGCTGTATTTCCTTCATTCTACAAATACTTCTTAAGCACTTTCTCTGTGCTAAGCAGTGTTCTAAATTCTGGAAATATGACAGTGAACATACAGACCCTACTATCAGAGGGCTTGCGTTCAAAAGGAGAATACACGAGGAAACAAATATATGTGTAAATGGTGAGGGATGGTAAATGTTTTGAAGAAAATAGCAAGGATATCTACAAACCAAGGAACTGCCTAACTAGTGGAGGGCATGGATGCCCCTGTGTCAATTACCACCATCCACACAAACCCCTGGAACCCGCAGGATAGTGGGGTGCAGGAGGCTTGTATTTCAGGAATGAGCTTGCTGAGGATTCAGAGCAAAATAGTATTGCAGCTATTCATCTGTGGCAGAGAGTGAGTGCTGTTAATCTTTACTTTTCCCATTTCACACCCAAGGCCATTGTTTGTTTTACAACTTTATTTTTCTTTATTATTGTCTGCAGACTGCCCCACCCCATCCCAGGGAGCCTTTTTAAGTAATTTTTTTAAGATTTTATTTTTAAGTAATCTCTCTACCCGATGTGGGGCTCAAACTCACAAGATCTCCCTGAGATCAAGAGTGCCACACTCTACTGACTGAGCCAGCCAGGTGCCTCTTATATTTTTTGACTAATCGCTTCTCCCGTGAGGTTTTAATAGTACAGATACACTCTACATCAAGTTTATGTACTCTGGCCCTTTGGAGAGCCACAGCCATTATTATATCTAAGACATTTTTCACCCCACTTCCCAGGAACCAATGCCTTTGACCTCACAGCACGCAGACTCTGAATCTGTGGCTCTCTCGCCGTTGGCACCTGCCACCCAGGCAGATTCCTCTAGAATTGCATAGATGGAATTGTCTTGGTTATTCAGAATCTCTTTGCCTTTGAAAGAAGAGTGAGTTAGTTTTTGATACAAGCCCCCTAGTGGTGTATGCCCTGGACAACTTCTCTTGTGTGTTCATTGGTGGCCGAGGAGGGCAGAGGTAGAATGGCCAGCTTCAGGAAGCCCAGCATGAGAACAGTAGGCAGGAGTTGACCGAAGGTGTCCCTGTCCTCTCCACATTGCCTTATTTTTATCTTACCTCTTATTTAACATCCGTTTGGACTTTAAAAATAAACGTGTATTTAGCACTTCTAGGTGTCTGGGAACAAGCTAGCGCTTGTCAGGTATATTAACTAACCCCTTCACAGCAACCATCTGCAGTAGGTTATAGCATCCTCGAGTTACAGATGTGGTGCAGCAGGTCCTGCACAAAGCCTGCAAGTGTCAGCCTTGATCCTTCCACCTCTGTACAGCACATGTAGTACCAAGAGTTGGTTGCGTGCTCTGACCTCCTCTGTCACTGTGATGTGAGTCCTCTCAAGACAGGAGTGGTGTTTTATTCACCTTTGCCTAGCCGGCTGCTAGCATGGTAAGTGTCACAAAACAGGTACTCCATAAATGATCGATGAAAGGGTGACTGGCTGGCTGGTGGCCGGACTAATGAGTACATTCCTACACAAGAGTATAATTATTTCCCGAATGAGGTGCCGTGCCCACTGACCTCTTCAGCTATAACCTGGTTCTACAGGTCCCCCCCTGCGATCTTGGTCCTACACAACTGAACCTGGTTTCCCCAAAGTGCCTGGGGTCTCCTTCACTCTTTAGGACTATGTCATAAAGTGTTTTAAGTCCTTGTTTTGCTCACTCTTTCCCTACTTGACCATCCCTCCCTTGGTTTCCCTGCCACTCTTCTCTCTAGCTGAATGCCAGATTCATCACCCTCTCCTCTGTAGATCCCTTTTTGTACTATCTTAAAATCAAGGACACGCAGGCCACTGTCTTGCAACAGTGAAAAACCTGCACCCTTGCTCTACATTGTGCTTCCTGAATATCTTGTCTTTTTAATTGATCTGGGCACAGCGAGGATACAGTGAGTAGGACAGTCGAGGCCCCTGCCCTTGTTGAGGTTCTGTTCTGGTGGGGGACAGAGAGTATACATATAAGCCGGGTAATTTCAGATAGTGACAGATGCCATAGAAGCATACGAATAAGCCAGTAGTGTGGCTCCCTCCTTCCTCTGAGGCAGTTGAAGAAATGTCAAATTAAGGTCCACCACATTAGTTGGGGAGCAATGACAGGTCTACAGATGACAGGTGCACGCATGCTGCTGCGTGGTCATTCAGAGTACAGGCATCTCTGCCCGCATGCTGGACACGATGCTGGTCTTACTGCCCACCTCCGGGCAGCCCTCAGGGCCACTGAGATGGTGCACGAGAGCCCCTTACACAGAGCCTGCCATGTGTAAGATGCTTAGTCAACAGTAACTGATTTTATTATTCTATATGAATTTTCTCTCTAACCATCTCCCCTCTTTGCTTTTTTTTCCAGCTCCAGGGTCTGAGCCACAATGTGATCTTCACCTTGGACTCCTTGTTAAAAGGAGACCTGAAGGGAGTCAAAGGAGTAAGTGTTCAGGAATTTGATTTTCACTTTAATTGGAAAGGATTGATTTTTTTTTCTTTTAAGATCATAGTGGTACTTGTATTTGAAAGGTGCTCGGAACATTTTTAGCATTAAAAAAGTACTTGGAAAACAATCATTGTGAAAGAGGCGCCACTTCACATAGTGTTATTGACTGAGAAATAAGATGAGGCACTTTCCAGAATCTCGGGGAGAGCCTCCGTGGGTGCGGGCAGTCTGCGCTGAGTCTTGGCCACGCTACCGGCAACCCCGGGGCCCAGTCCCTTGGAGCCGCTGGGTCCTGCTTCACGGGCATCGCCCAGAAGCTCACCCTTCCTGCCTACGCAGGCTTCTCATGGGTGATCCTGCTGTGCTGTGCGTGAGTGTCTGTGCCAGGCTTCCCACGTCCTATAAAGGAAAGCGCTTCTGCTGAGATATTGTTTCAGGATTATTTATCTGCCTTTGAACAAAAATAAATTCGATCTCAGTTTCATTTTCTCTTTCCTAAGGATCTCAAGAAGCCATTTGACAAAGCTTGGAAAGATTATGAGACAAAGTTGTAAGTAGTTTTCTGTTTGTTTTTTATAGTGTTCACTTTCTTAAGACAAAGTTAACTGGAAGAGCCCTCCCTTCTGAACGACTTGTGTAGTACATCCTTGGAAGGGCTGAGGGTTTGGGTGTGCCGACCTAATTACAAGTGGCTCATCTCCTGTCTCATTGTCTGGAGTGAGGTGTGCTGTCACTGCCGAGGGTTTCAGCACTCATGGCTGCTGGTACGAGCTATCAGGCTGTAGATCTGACTGTTGCAACTTTTCTTTAATTATAGTTAGCACATAACTCTAGACTATTGACATTCCCACATAGCACTTAGGAAATAATAATAGCTAGTGTTGATGACATCCTTCTACCTGCCAGGGCCTGCACGCAGTGTTCTACATGCGTGACCTCCTCACGGTGACCTCACCGTCTGTGTCTGGTTTGAGGAACTGAAGCCCAGAGAGGCTGAGGGGATTGCACAGGGTCGTAGGGCTAGGTGGTGTCATGCTGGCCTTCACCAGAGCTGGAGCAGTGCCTGGCGGGATTTTTGTGGGGATTGTGGAGGTGATGCACGTGAGATGCATGACATGGGCCTGGCTAGTCTTCATACTGTACGAATCATGCTACTACCTTCCTGTGTTGTTTTTTTTTTAAAGACTGTGTTTATTTATTAGCACAAGTGGAAGGTAGGGGCAGAGGGAGAGGGAAAAGCAGACTCCCCGCTGAGCAGGGACCACCCCTGCAGTGTCCTCCCCCTATGCAAGGCTTGATCCCAGGACCTCGAGATCATAACCTGAGCTGAACCCAGCTGCTTAACTGACTGAGCCACCCAGGCACCCCTCCCTTCCTTCATTATTATTGCTTGGAGGCATCTGTATCACCATGAGGTGGGGTGGGAGGAGAAATATATTTTAAAGCATTTAATGAAAAGCTTGGCTGTGAACTCAGATAGCTATAAACATAAGAGAATAAAAGTCATTTCCATCGACAGCAATAACAGCAGAAGGAAAACACAAACAAAAGCAAAACAGATTCAAGATTAAATTTGGTTTTTGGCAAACTACTTCTGTAAACGCTTATGTGAGAAGTGCATTGCTGCAGACTTGTTGCCTTAGGAATACTTTTATACACTGATCAGTTATAAATGCAGCTGAGAAGAAAAAAGGTTCTTTTTTTTTTTTTTTTTTTTAAGGAAAAAAGCTCTTAAAAATGGTCAGTGATGTAAATGAATACCGTGAGCCAGCCTGTCTTCTGTATGAAAGAGGATCATGAATGCTCATGCTTGTGATCTTAGTACTGCCCTGTCCAGAGGCATCTGTGTGTGCTGGGCTTGGGTTGGAACTAAGTACATACTAAAGGGGCTGGAGTCCACAAAAGGGAGAGAGAACCCTTTGCTCTAGACTTGTGGAATAGATCTCTTTTGTAGGACATGGAAAGGACAGAACAAGATACAATATGTGCTTTGTCAACTAAAGTACTACCCATATTGGATGATATAACTGTATTTTTATGCAAATCTTTGTGTTGGGGTAAGACTTTGAAGTACCTGGTGGTCGGTATTATGAATATCATGGAATATAAGCCATTCTCGGACGATCCAGGTGCCCTTCCCTCAACTGTATTTGAACTTGTCCGGCCGTTCACTATTCTGTGTTGTCCTCCAGCATCTGATCTTGGTGAGCGCAGTGACCACATCGTTTGGTGCTAATCTCCCACAGCCTAGCAGAACCTTGGACACACCATTAGTGCATAGGGAACAGTTACTGAAAGGATGAAAGAGTTATTTGCATCTGGAAATGTATACCAGGAATTGTGTTGTTAAGTGGGTCCTGATACTAGTATTTCACCAGAAAGATTTTTCTTTTTCTTTTTTAATAAATCCCTGGCATCAAATTATTTTCCTAAGATAGGCTTCTTCCTCACTAGCTATAGTGGTACAGGAAGTTTAAAAAAAAAAAAAACACAAATATTTGATTACTTGATGTTATGGGACTCATTTGATTATGAATTACAGAAAACAAACAATATAGAAAAAAAAAGTTAATTTGTTAGCTGCAAGAACCAAGGGGGATATTCTACGGTCTTCAGTTAGAACCCAGGAGGCAGTGAGCCCTAATGGTTTCGTGGAGAATCAGAGACTGTGGGAGAATCTGGGTGGTGCCACTTACCCAGTTTTGTGACTTTGAGCCGAGATACTTCGATGGTCCTCACTTACAGCTTCTATTGTTGTAAAACAATAGAAAAACCACCTACTTCTCAAGGCTTCTGAGGACAAGATAACGTAGTATGTTGAAGCACTGCTATTGCTGTCTGGTATACAGTTGGCACTCAATCAGTAGTTTCTAGCAAGTCTTTTAATGATCAAATAATATTTAGTCAAAAACGATAACCAGAGAGGAAAAACTAAAACAAGATGAAATCAGAGAGGGAAACAAACCATAAGAGACTCTTAACTCTAGGAAACAAACTGAGAGTCACTGGAGGGGAGGTGGTGGGAGGGATGGGATAACTGGAGGATGGGCATGAAGGGCAGAGCACGTGATGTGGTGAGCACTAGGTGTTATATAAGACTGATGAATCACTGTTCTCTACCACTGAAACCGATAATATATGCTAATTAATTGAATTTAAATTTTAAAAAAAACTAAGCCCATACATAAAACATTAAACAGTACTTGTATCTGTTAAGACTTACTCTATATAAAATAGAAAAGCCCCAATAACTGGGTTTGACAAGAGTTTCTCAGAGGATGTAAAGCATCTAGGGCACAGCAGGCGCCCGTCACAGCACTCGTCACACGCTGTTCAGATGTCTGTCCTGTCCCCCAGAATCTGAGCTCAGGGAATTGTGCTGCCTCGATGATTCAGGTTTCTTTTCCTAATGAGCAACAGGAGAGGGAATCTTATGCAGGCAGTAGGCTTGCTTCTCATGGAAAGACACAGCGGTCCTCAGCCCACCCCTCCCGTCTTCCTCCACCTCTCTTGTCCCCACTGCTACCTCTCCCCAGTTGGTTTGTCCCAATGGTCTTCTGTGTTCTCTTGCCATTCCTTCCTGGTTCACCCGATGTGCTGCTACAGCAGGTGAGGGGTGAGCTCTCATGCACAGTCACCCCCATCCCTTCCCACCCCTACCCTGTTCAGCCAGTGTGGTTAATACAACAATCTATGGATAAATCAGTTGGCAGTGTTTCAACGTCTGTGAGTGCAAATCTCCAGTGTCAGTCCAGTGGTGTGTCATATAATGGGATTTCCATTCTTACAGCACCATTTTGTGCTTTTCTTAAATGAAATAAGTATCTCATTTGCCTACTTACGTTTGAGTGTTTTGTAAACTTTTGTTATCTGTTAGGATGTCCAATACCTGTTAATAATGTTTCCGTTTAGAAAATACACTGTAGGGGATCCCTGGGTGGCTCAGCGGTTTAGCGTCTGCTTTTGGCCCGGGGCGTGATCCTGGAGTCTTGGGGTTGAGTCCCACATCGGGCTCCCTGCATGGAGCCTGCTTCTCCCTCTGCCTGTGTCTCTGCCTCTCTCTCTCTCTGTGTCCCTCATGAATAAATAAATATAAATAAACAAAATCTTCAAAAGAAAACACACTGTACTGTATACGTTGTAACAATGATTATATATGTATTAGCCTTAGGTTCTCTGTCAGTTCCTTCCTTTCTGTCCTGGAGAATCCTTCCAGAGCTCTTTAGATCAGCCATGCAGCCGTTGTCCTGGGCTGCCCCTTCGTGGTAGCTCTCCTGGTTCCTCTTTCCTGGCATAGTCCCATATTTGCCTGGCACACTACTGCCAGTCGTTTCCAGGGAACAGCTCTAAAGGAGGGAAGTTTTTCAGATTTTGGCATGTCCAGAAATATCTTCATTCTGCCATCACACAGAACAAGAGTTTGGCTGAATGTAAAATCCTAATTTTATAACCATATTCACTTGAGATATTGAAGGCATTGCTACACGGTTTTCCTTTTTCCAGTGTTCCTAATGAAAAAATCTGATGTGTCTTTGATTCCCATTTCTTTGTATGTGGCATGGATTTGGGGAAGGGGAGTTTGTTTATTTTCAAGTAGAAAATACTTGTCTTTTGGGGCACCTGAGTGGCTCAGTCAGTTAAGCATCTGACTTTTGATTGTGGCTCAGGTCATGATCTCAGATCCTGGGATCAAGCCCCACGTCAGGCTCCATGCTCAGCGGGGAGTCTGCTTGAGGCTTCTCCCACTCCCTCTGCCCTTTCCCCTGCTCGGGTTCTCTCTCTGTCTCTCTCTGTCTCTCTGTCTCTCTCTCTCTCTCTCAGATAAATACATCTTTGAAAAGTAAAATCTTAGACTTTTTTTTTTTCAAACGTTCTGTAGAGTCTCTTCATGTGCCATGGTGTGTGCATTGACCTCTTTGCAATTTTTTAGTTCTTAAGTTCTAGAAATGTTTCTTCTTATTCCTCCCAAGTGTCCATGTGTTGCTGTTGTTGTTTTCTGTTTATTCTCCTAAAATGCCTCACCATATCGTGTTGGAGTCACTAGGTGATTCTTATCATTTCCCTCTTTTTCCTGTCCTATTTGTCTGTTATGTTTTAGATTATTTTCAGCCTTTTATTCCCACTGTCAACTTTTTTTATTTTAGCTGCCGTATTTTAGATTTCCAAAGCCGTTTTTCTCAAGTCATTGGGAGTTTTTGGTGGTCTCTTTATATTTTCTTGTTGTTTCATAGGTACAGTATTTAGCTCCCTGAGGATTTGATTATATTTTATAAAATATTTTCTCTCCTACTGCGTCTGGTTCCCCCGCTCCCACCCCCAACTTGTTATTTTGATCTCTTGCTTTCATTTTGGAGCCCTTCCTCAATTATCTTATCATCCTTCACTGCCCATTCATATTTCAGAGCAAAGCACCAAAAGTTGATGGAAAGCTCATCTGTGTTAGCAGCGCTTGTCAAGAATGCAAGGTTTTAGGTTTAGGATGTGAAGACAGTGCCTTTTCTTTTCTTTTCTTTTCTTTTCTTTTCTTTCTTTTTTCTTTTCTTTTCTTTCCTTTCCTTTCCTTTCCTTTCCTTTTCTTTTCTTTTCTTTTCTTTTCTTCTCTTTTTTCTCTTTTCTCTTTTCTTTTTTTTCTTTCTTTCTTTTTTTTTTTGCCCCAAGCAGACTCCCCACTGAGTGTGGATCCCAACATGAGGCTCAATCCCACAACCCTGAGTTCATGACCTAAGCCAAAATCAAGAGTCAGATGCCACCTAGGTACTCCAAGACAGCTTCTTTATCAGGAGTATTGTAAATGTCAGTATCCAGAGGTGTGTCCTCTGGCACCATTCAGCTCCCTCAGTTCATGTCTAGTGATCCTGTATGATGGTATTCTGGAAGCAACAAAGGCCATGGAGTCAGGGAGCCCTGTTGTTTGGTACACACTTTCTCTTTTTCTCTCTGTATACCTGCTCTTCCAAATATTTGATGAATTTTCTCATCCTTTTTTGTCTTCAGTTCTTGTCTTTGTGAGATTATATTTTTTTATAAGTTTAATGTCATCTTAGTGGGATTATGGAAGGAGGAAGAAATGAAGACATGTGGTCAAGCTATGACGCTAACCCAGAAGTTTATTCTTATGGCGTAATCCCTGCTTCTCACATTTCTTTTCAAATGTCTTTAGCTTCCTGCTTCTCTTCCCACCCACACCAGTAGAGAGAGCTGAGGCTTGTTCTCTATCTGCTTTCATGCCTGCCTGGTGGCCAACATGGCTTGGTAAGATATGGCATTATGGCGTCAGAGGAATCCCAACCAGACTTGTAGTAGATTTTCCAGTGGGTTGATTTTCTACCATTGTTTGTATATAGACAAGGATATTGGCTTTCTTTGGGGTCTGATTTCCCACCACCACAATTTAAAAGAAGATTTGAAGGCTAAATCAGTTTGTCTTTGCATTCACAACTAAAATCTACTCTTTCTGACATTGGAAGTCTGTTTTCAAGTTAGATGGATTTTCGGAAAGAGGGTTGTAATTGTTGGTGTTACTGTACCATCTATCATAGCCAAGCATTAGCCTCAGGCAGTGTTGGTTTAATATGGGCCCTCCTTCTTACTCATGTGCTTCCCTCTTGGCCCTTCCCCACTGAAGAACATTTGTATAGGATTCCAAGTTATAGACTGGGATTTCTCCCATCCTTATTTCATAGAATCCAATGCCAGGTGGTTGAATGATTAAAACGTGTTATGGGGATATGGCAATGGCCCAGACTTAGAGGAATATTGAAAATTACCTTTGACTACTTTTTGTATGCGTTCATTATGCCCTTTGATTGTCTTGAAATAATTCTCAGACTCGTAATTTGTTGGTAATCAAGATATGCTTCAAGTGTTTTTCATCATAAAGTACTTTACCCAAGAAAAAGTCAACTGTCAAAATTTTATCATGCCAACCAAAATATGAGGGAATTTATAAGAATTGATCCATGTGGGGGTGCCTGGGTGGCACAGTCAGTTAAGCGTCTAATTCTTGGTTTCTGCTCAGCTCATGACCTCAGGGTTGTGGGATCAAGCCCCGCATCGGGCTACGCACTCAGTAGGAAGTCTGCTGGAGATTCTCTCTCTCCATCTGCCCTCCCTCTGTGCGCACGCTCTCTCTCTCTCTCTCTTCCCTCTAAAATAAGTCCATTCATGTGTAAGATCAAAGTTAAAATGTAAGAGGTTTCCTAGGCGAAAATCTATAGTGTGTGTGTTCTCTTTGATTCTTTTGATCAATGTTCCCAATGTAAGAATTCCTGCCTCTTATCTCTAGTAATGAAGAAACGATCAGTGCCTCTTGTTAAAGGAAAGACATAAATTTTTTTTAATGATGGCATCTGCTTTAATTACAGTACAAAAATTGAGAAGGAGAAAAGAGAGCATGCAAAGCAGCACGGGATGATCCGCACAGAGATCACAGGAGCCGAGATCGCAGAGGAGATGGAGAAGGAACGGCGCCTCTTTCAGCTCCAAATGTGCGAAGTAAGAACAGCCTTTGCAAGCATTTGCCTGGAGTTTCATTAACTGTGATCTTTCCTGCTAATCAGGAGTTTTTATACTTAAATGCAGGCTATTTGATTATTAGAGGAGGGGACTGTTTCTTAAGGGTTCTCATCTCCATTTTTCTCCAAGCCTTTTGGGATCCGCCATTTCACTGTTGTCTCATATTTTGAGCCTTGGTCCTGTGGGGCTCTTTATGCCAAAACAGGATTCTTTGGTGAGAACTTTAATGTTGCTTGTGAGTGAGTGTGGAAAAAAAAAAAAAAAAAACATTTGGTGAGGAGTAACACTGGTGAATATGAAGTCTTACTGGTCCAGGTTTAGAGCATGTTTTTTGTTTTATTAACCATGTGTCCAGTTTGAATGAAAACTTAAATACAGTTGTCATTAAGAAAATCTGAGTTCATGAAAAAAATGTAATGAAAGCATGCACCCTTACAGCAGTGGTTCTCAAACTGGGTTCCCAGGGAACACTGGCACTCCTTGACCTACAGTCCTGCATTTTCTGATACTAACGTTGTATCATAGAGTTCCTTTCACAGTTTTTCAAAAATAGTAAAATGGATGGAGTTTTCTCAATTTTAACAGATTTTTTTAAAAGTATTTTTTCCCTTCTTGAAACTTTTAGCTTCTTTCATTCTCAAACACTTCTTCATAGTAAAATGAGTGAAAAAGAAGCAAACAGTATCAACAGATATCTTGGCCACTAGTAAAAATCAGACCTAGTAGTATTAGTTAACTGCATAAATCAATAATGAGTTATTTTCATTTTTATTCTTTCATTCTTGAGTACCAAAAATTTGAAGTTTCACTATCTTACGGCATACGCCTCAAGAGAATGCTATTTTACTTGTTTTCTATAAAGGACAATCGACTATTTCAGGTTTTGACCATGTGAACTCTTGAGTTTGAGATCCACTGCATCCGGGGGAAATAATCAGTTATTCTAGAATGTTTTGCTATGTTTGATTTCTGCTTGTCATGTAAACTAACCTTGAGCATTTTTAAAATGCTAACACTCTAATAATTCGTTTGTACACTTGTGACTTTGCCAAAGCACCATTTCCCAAATTACATTCACACTGTCTGAAGGTAGCCAAGGTTGAGTAACTTGTGTAGATTCTTGATTGGTTGGTATTCTGCTACCCAAACCCATGACTGAAATACTTTGTAACAATACATACAATTTTGTTTTATTTCCACAGTATCTCATTAAAGTTAATGAAATCAAGACTAAAAAGGGTGTGGATCTGCTACAGAATCTTATAAAGTATTATCATGCACAGTGCAAGTAAGTAGAATATTGTGATCATAATTATTAGCCCAAATAAGACCCCCTTCACTTCTTTGCTGTTCCTAATCGTTTCTTTCTCTCTGGTTTTTATTTGGTCACTATATATAGTGATATTATAACCTTCCAAAGCCACATGATAAGAAATAGCATGTATTATCTTCCATCTTCTTTGCTTTCTGTAAATCAGGAACTCAGATTAGTACGACTCTCTGGCTGCTCAAAAGTGCTGTCTTACTTACGAATCCTAACAATGGCCTTGACAGTCTGCGAAACTCTTGTTACAGACAGATGCATCCCTATCATTACTACCCCCACCCCCTCCTCGCTTACCTGACATCTCACTTATTATTGGGTCACGTATATCTACTTTGAATTTTTTTTCTTTTTCATCTAATTTGGATGAAATTAAATACTTTGGGCATTAAGAATACTTTGCCTTTGTACTTAGATCCCTACATAATTGGTGGTACCTCCACTGTTTATACCAGCACCATTTTTACTAACATTGCATTTTTATTATGTTTGAGATTCTGTGGCATTACTTTTGTTTATTTACTTCTCGCTTACTTACTAGATTAGCTTTCATAGGCTTTCTGGTAGAGATTTTATGTGAAAATGTGCCCATTATTAAAATTTTTAATGTTCTATATAAGAATATCTTTGTGTTCAACTGAGACATTTCAGGAGGTCAGTGTTAATATTGTGGGATGCATACAAGGCATGAGTCAGAAAGATGAGTTCAGACCGTGGCTCTGTACCCAGGTGACCATGTGATCCTTGTCAGGTTCCTCTCTAAACCTCAGTACCCTCATCTGTCAAGTGGGGTTAAGGTTGGTAGTTGTGAAATGAAATGAGATAATGCAGATGGAACCTTGCCTGGTACCTGCTATATTGCCTATGTTTGCAGCTCTGAGGATTCCAAGTGTCACTGAAATCATTCATTCATTCATGTATTGTACAGAATTGTTTCTCTTCAGGAGAAGCTTTTAATGATCAGAATCTTATTTATATAAATTTGATTTGTTAACTTTTTCCTGCTTTTCAAAGTAAATTCCACCTTATATAAATGTGTTCCACATATAAAAATAATACATTGAGGTGGACACAGTTGCACATTTATAAGATAAATTTTGCTTGTGGAAGCCTCATACTGAAGACCTGGTCTAACCTTTGACTTCATAGCTTAGTGGGGCACATAGGAGACTTTGAAATGTGTCGTGGTGGTCCCTAATTTTAGTTTCAGATGGAATTATTTTTCATCAATTCAGTTTTCCTAGAAACAATATTGCTTTAAAACCTCTACAGAAAAAAAGTGAGCCGCTCAGTCTTCTCTGTTACAACACTTTGGCAGGAAATATGATTTTAACTGATTTTAGAAATCTCTCTTTCTCTCTCTCTCTCTCTCTTTTTTTTAAGTAAGCCCTGTGCCCAATGTGGGGCTTGAACTCACACCCCCAGGACCAAGAGTCTCATGCTCTACCAACTGAGCCAGCCAGATTTCCCTAGAAATCTCTTTTGACCTCATGTTTCCTTACCTGTAGAAGGGTTTAACCTCCACAAACATGAATTTTCCAAAATGTAAGATGTTTTGTAAACCATACAGCTCTTAACCTGCGTTCATAAAGGTGAAAAGAAGAGCAACTCTGACCTGGATAGCAAATGTATCCTCCCTTTGTTCTTTCATTCCTGGCTTTTTCACTTTCCAGAAATATATATCGGTCTCCTGATAAATGCCAGATACTTTGTAGGCACCCTTGAGAGCTAATTCTTGTATAGGAAGTAAGTTGGGTCATCAGTCATCACAATGGGCCCAGGAGGTAACTGGTAATATGGGCATCAGGAGGAGAGATTTTCATACTCCTTGAAGGGGGTGGCAGCAGTAGAGATTAGATTTAGGAGATGGCTAGCATATGGCCATTGGAATCTGTGTCTTCCCCGGGAGCAGAGGGATCAGCAGATGAAAACCTCCTTGTGGGGAGTGGTATTCACAGACATGGGTCATAATGGGGTTCATCCCTAGCTGCTCCGTGGTTGAACCTCAGGAATGCCTGCACAGCAAGAAGCTCGGTGTTCTTTCAGGGAAACTCTTTTCCTTCCTATTTCAGGCAATCCCTCAAAACCCTTAATAGATAATGGACTTGTAAAGCATTTCTACCTAATTCAAAAAGAGAAAGAGATTTCATATCCCAAGTACTTACTCCCCAAATGCTTTTCAGTTCAAAGTCAGGGAGCGCCTAAGAGTAAGTTCGCTCCAGTAATACCATGGACAGTCCAGCACCTCAGTGGGGATGCAGTTGCCTCAATGGAACAATAAAGGGAGCAGAAAAGAAGAGCTTTTGACTTTCCGTTACCCTTTCCAGCTCACCCACCCCAGCTGCTCATCACTTTCAGACTTGAACATTGTGGGAAACATGTTGCCTTCAGAACAAACATTATCCTACTGCTCACCCATTCCTTTTACCACCTAGCAAATATCATTATGATCTGCAGGATCACAAAGCATGTACAAACATTACTGTGTTGTCCTTGATTTAAAAACAATAATAGCTAACATTTATCAAGAGCAATCAGGATATTGTAGCTCTGAAAGGATGAATAACTTGCCCAAAGACACATTCACTCATTTAGTAAATACTTAATAAACGTGTCAAAATGGACAAAGCAAAAGGAACCAAAGGGAAAAATAGATAAATTGAATTTCAAAATCAAAAACGGTATTGTGCATGAAAGAACATTATTAAGAAAGCAAAAAGACAACCCACAGAATGGGAGGGAAATATAATATTTGCAAATCATTTATCTGATAAGGGTCTAGTATCCAGCATATAAAAAGGACTCCTACAACTCAACAACAAAAAGATAACCTCGTTTAAAAATGGGCAATGAATTTAAGTAGCTATTTCTCTGGAAAAGATACACAATGGCCAAAAGCACAAGAAAAAAACTTCAGCATCATTATCATTGGGGAAAATACAAATCAAAACCACAGTGAGATATCACTTCACCCCCACTAGGATGGCAATTTAAAAATCAACAGCAACAACTAAAGGGAAACTAGGTCTTGGCAAGATGTACAGAAACTGGAACCCACAGTTCATTGCTGAGAGAAATGGAAGTTGGCACAACTACTTCAGAAGAGCTTTTGGCATTTACTCAAAAAGTTAAGCCTAGAATTGCGTGGCCTTGCAATCTTACTTCTAGGTATATACGCAAGAGGATTTAAAACAAGTATTTAAACAAAAATGTGTTCAGACATGTTCATAGCATCATTATTCACAATAGCCAAAGTGTAGAAACACCCAAATATCCATCAACTGGTGAACGGACAAACAAAATATGGTGTAGCAGCAGTGCAGTGGAGTATTACGGGGCTGTGTAAGAGAATGAAGTATTTAGACAATAGACATGACTGCTGATTGGCCCATGGGCTGGACCCTGGTGTTCAGAGGCTCCTCACCCCCACCCCTGTCCTTGCAACGTGGGTTCTGCTTGCCTTTCTCACTCCCAGAGGCTGCTCCAGGAATGCAGCCTTAAGATGGTGATGTGTTGAAAACACCTGCGTGATGTATACATGACCAAGCACAGTTAGGGCCTCTATACACTTTAGGGATTGGGAGGACAGTTGTGGGGATCCAGTCTTATAGCTGCCACCCAAGATGACATTCAAACGTCCAAGCTCCCTGTGCTATTAAGGAAACTGCCACCTGCCAACCCGGAGTGACCTGTTGCTTCTTTAGGTCTCTTGCTCCCAGGAGGGTCACAAACTGACATACATGCTACGACATGGATGAACATCTAAAACATTATTCTAAGGGGTTATTTTTTTATTATTTTTTTAATTTTTATTTATTTATGTTAGGCACACAGTGAGAGAGAGAGAGGCAGAGACACAGGCAGAGGGAGAAGCAGGCTCCATGCACCGGGAGCCCGACGTGGGATTCGATCCCGGGTCTCCAGGATCGCGCCCTGGGCCAAAGGCAGGCGCCAAACCACTGTGCCACCCAGGGATCCCTAAAACATTATTCTAAGTGAAAGAAGGCTGATGTGGAAGGCCACATACTATATGATTCCATCTAAGTGAAATGTCCAAAAAGACAAATCCACTGAGATAGAAAGCAGATTATTGTTCCCTGGGGGAAGAGAAGAAGTGGGAACTGTTGCTAACAGGTGATGGACGTGTTCTGGAGTTAGTGGTGACGGTTGCACCAGGTTGTGAATATACTAAAAACCACTTAATTGTACATTTTGAAATGGTGAATTTTACTTTACATGAATTTTATCTCGATTTTTTTTTTAATTCACAAAACAGCCACAAAACAAAAACAAAGATCATGCCCTCATAGAACTTATATGTAGAAGGTGACAGAACCAAGTCATTCACCCAGGTCTCTATAACTATGCTCTTACTGTGTCAGAAATCTAAATTTGATAAGCCTGGATTTGGGCCTAGACATCTCTACTTCTTAGAATCTCCATATGTGAGCACAACACATCACTCTCAGCTAGCTCTTTGACCTGAACTGTTGAGATGTATCTGTGGTTCATTAGTACTTATACTGATTAACCCCTGTACCTTTAAGTTTCTTAAGCACCATACACTGGTGTGTGGGATGTGTCTAGGAGGAAATGTCACCTGGCTAGCTGGAAATCAGTATCTAAAGTTTGGAAGTAAGCTTTCAGGAGGGGTTTGGTGGTTGATGCATTAAGAAATCACTTTAGGGATGCCTGGGTGGCTCAGCGGTTGAGCGTCTGCCTTTGGCTCAGGGCTTAATCCCAGAGTCCCGGGATCGAGTCCCACATCGGGTTCCCTGCATGGGGCCTGCTTCTCCCTCTGCCTATGTCTCTGCCTCTCTCTCTCTCTCATGAATAAATAAATAAAATCTTTTTTTAAAAATCACTTTTTTTTATTTGTTTTATAATTTGATTTGTTGTAAAGAACCAAACTCTCTATGATATTATAGGGTATCCTGACCTCTTTTGAAAATAATCTTATGTTCCCTGAGCATTTCAGCCTTTGACCAAATAGCACCTCTTTCTAAGCCAAGCAGTATATGTGATTGGGGTAGCAGGGAGATATTTCTGTCTTTCTTTGAAATTAAATTAAAAGCAGAAAGAATATAGCATCTCCCTTTCCTGTCATTATTTGGACAGAATAAGAAGTGATGTATATAGCAACGTTCTTAGGTTAGAGAAAACTGCCTGATGGACAGCTGACTGTTTGACGCTCATGAGCTTGCTCTCTGCAGCTGTGCGTGTGTTATAGTCTGTCAGGATAAATGTGAGGGGTCCTTCTGCCTATCAGTTGGCAACTTACATCTTTCTAGCACTCTAGGCCATTGAGATATGGTCATATTTCTTGCAGGCTGCTTATTTAAAAAGTGAAGCCAATGCAGCTGTGTCCCTAAGGTCAGAGAAATAATGAGGCTCATTTTGCTGGCCTGTGGCCATCAGGTATTGAACTGCTTCTCTGTACCTGGCATTTTAAGAACATTATTGCAGTGCTCACAAGAACTCTCCACGGTCCATGGGATCATCTCCGTTTCCTGTATAAGGACCTGGAGGTGCAGGGATTCAGAGATTATGCCGTTACTCAGTGAGAGAGCCAGAATTTGGGCCTAGATCAGCCTGATTTGTTTAACTACCTGTGCTCCAGAGCTAGGAATACTTAAACTCAAATCCCAACTCTGTACTTAATGACTCGATGACCCCAGTTAAATGACTTCTCTGGGCCTCAGCTACCTTGTCTGTTACAGGTTAATAGTAATAATTATCTATTTTGATGGCTTCTAATGAGACTTAAAAAGGGATACTTAATTGTGCATAATAGTGGGTGACTGGCACAGAGTAACTAGTTGCATGCCAGCTGTCATTATTATTATTATTATTATTATTATTGTTAATTATCATCTGTTTTCCAAAGATCTCATTATATTTCAGTAATGTACAGAGAAAGTAGCCAAGGGACAGGTTTGGGTGTCGGAGAGGTAATGTGGCTTTCTATGGGGAAGGCTCACATGTTCGGGTGGAGTGACAGGTGATCAGAACTGACATTTGTGCTTTACTTTCCAACTAACAGAACACTTTTGTCTGTAGTGTCTCTTCTGGCGCTCCTGGAGGCCAGAGAACGTCCACCTTTGGAGATGATCAGGCTTATTTGCAGACAGGGTCCATAAACTGCCCAAGGTTATACGTACAGTGAGATTGAGAGCCAAGACATGATACGCTTTTGACTCTGAAGTTTATGCATTTCCAGTGAACCAGAGCCAGGGGAACCGGAGGGAGGAAACAGGGAACAGAGGAGCCAATGCCCTCAGTGAAATGTGGCAGATGATGTGTGGCTGTGACTCACAGTCCCCCCCCCCCCCCCCCAGCCAGCGGCTGAGACTGAGCTGCTCAAGTGGAGGACGGTCAAGCACAGAGGGGAGGTCACAGACGCACAGGGCAGTGGACCACGTTGGCCTCTGCTTACTGATGACTGTGTTACTAATATCAAGAGTGATGGTCTCCTTACAGCCTGTCCCCTGCCTCCTATTCCCATTTCTCACCAAAAAAAAACAAAAGTTAGCTGGAACATAACTTTCTAGAGAGGGGCTCAGCTCAGCCTTCTCCTTCCCGACTAAGTCAGTTCTTTTCTGTAATTTTGTTTTGCCTCATGTATGAAAATATGATCTGTTTTAGCAAATGAAGTTAAGAAAACCTACAATTTTCACTCAGAAGATGACTGGATTTATGTATCTGATTTGTTTACAAGAATTGGGTCAGACTGTAGATTAAAATGATTTCTCATTATATTAATTTTTCCTAGTCTTTGTTTGTAACATTCTGAAGAATTCTGAGGTAGGAAAACAGGCTTGTTGGGGTCTTTCTTCAGCCTTTGAATTGTAGGAATTTGACCCCCTTCCAGCTTGCTTTCACTACTGGTAAATAACTTTAACAGTGCTGTCTCAAACTAAAACAGCGCCCTTCTTCTCCTTAAAATGTCTGTGTTTTATAACATTCCTGTGTGCTATTCAAATCCAAATTTGCTTATTCAGTTTGTCCAGTAGAACTTTCCTGCCATGATGGAAATGGAAGTGTTCTCTACTAACGTGGTACCTACTGGCCATGTGTGGAGTGAGACTTTAGGAACTGAGGTTTACATTTATCTAATTTTAGTTAAGTTGTTAGCTGCTAGTGGCTACCCCATTGGAAGACACAAATCTAGAGAATTGTCATTTAAACTCACGTTAAAAATAAAGAGAGATGAGGCAGCCCCGGTGGCTCAGCGGTTTAGCGCCGCCTTCAGCCCAGGGCCTGATCCTGGAGACCCAGGATCGAGTCCCATGTCGGGCTCCCTGCATGGAGCCTGCTTCTCCCTCTGCCTGTGTCTCTGCACCTCTCTCTCTGTCTCTCGTGAATCAATAAATAAAACCTTTAAAAAAATAAAAAATAAAGAGAGATGATTAAATTTCCTTCATGTTGAAAGTGAAAATGAAACACAAACATATCTGCAGTGAATCCGTATCCCTCGGGGAAGGACAAGACTCCTTACCTGATAAACTCACGCTGTCCAGGGAAGGAAGCTAACATGCACTGAGCACGTCCTAACTACCCAGCGCCTTGCTGAGCGAGTTCATATGTGTCATCTGTGTTATCTGCCCCACTGAATACAGATAACAAGCAGAAGTTAAGTGACTCCCTAGTGCCCCATTGCTAGTAAATCCTCAAGCACAGATTCTAGGCTGTAATCCTCTGACCCTGAAGCCCTTACTTTTTCTGTCGTAAGGAGTCCTAATAGCATCCACCTTACACTGATGTGTTCTACCTTCAGACTTTTTCTCCAGAAATTATTTTATTATCAGAGATCAGAAGTGGTTTCTCTAGGATTGAATTTGTGGCCATACTTCTGCCTCCTTCGCACGCACTTTTTCCCACATGTAGATGATACTGGATCAGATTGATGTTCACAAATGTCCTGTCCTGGACAGAAGACAGCTGCTGTAGGGCTGGCATTAGGCCTTGGCACAAGCCAGTGCCGGAAAATGCCATCCCCTGGATTGGCAGGACCAGAGAAAGCTGCTGTGGGAACTATGATAGAAGTGTAGTGAGGAAAAGCGTTTCAGCAAGAGGGAACAGCATATGCAAAGGCCAGGTGAGAACTGGAAAAAAAAAAAGTGACATGATTGGAGTCCCAATTTTTTTTAAAGAAGATGGTAGGTGATAAAACCAGAAAGATATTCAGGGGCCAGAACATAAGTTGTATTCAATTCTGTACTGAGTTTAACTTTCATCCCAATAGGCAGGGGTGAACAGCTGAATGTTAGAAGAGTTTAAATGTAGCTCTCCAGTTAAATGGTTAACCAAAAAGCCCTCCTTCCTCCCATTCCTGTTGTGGGTAGACTTTCTGAAGATGGTATTTCTCTTCCTTACGTTAGTAAGAGTTCTCTCATCTTTAAGATGTCAACCTTAAAAAATTCCTAAACGTGGGATTTCAGTATGCACTCTTGGAGGATCAGTTCTGTTAAAGATATATTGTTACCATTGTATTGTTACATTAAGCCTAAAAGTATATATAAATATAGATCCTAAGATGTGTCCTAAAACTTCTTGATAATGCTGCGTTCTTGTCACTCACTGAGCATGTGCTTGGTGCTGGGCCCACTGCAATCCCAAGATGAGACGGTCCTCATCCTCAAAGACCTCATTCTTTTGTGAGGAAACAGCAACAGAGGTGAGCAGGGTTAGAGAAGCCTCCAAAGTGTAGAGAAAATTAAAAACACTGAAACAAGTAGGACTCCTGAGTGGAGGCATCAGACAAGAAATCTCTTCGCTTGGTCGTCATGAGCAGGGGTGTCCGAATCAGAGCCTGGCTCCAAATCCCAGTTTTGCCACTTATTAGTTGTGTAAGCAAGTTATGTACTCACCCTGGGCCTCAGTTTATCCTCTGAAAAGGAGATGAGATTGATGTGCTTGTGAACTCATTCGGGTTGGGGTAGGGAGTGAATGAAATAACTCAAGTAAAATGCAAGCATGCTTAGCTAGTTAGGCAGGCTCGGTGCATGTCAGTGCTGAAAATTGTTCAGGGTGAAATGGTGCATCTGCTTGTACACATGCAGGATACCATCGATCCGACCTCCTGATTTCGAGCATGTGCTCAGGGGTCTTTGGAGAACTGAAAAATGGCCAACTTTTCGCAGTCTTTGTTTCGAGAAGAGTCTTGTCTCTCCTTAGAGTGTCTCATTCATGCTTGTGATATTTCACCAGTTATCGTGTGTATCTCTCTCTTTTGAATTCAAATATGGCACAACCAGGAGGAATGTTTCTATGAATAGATGGATATGCACATGAAATCACTCTATTGGGGCCGCAGCTGTAATTTGCACTGTCTATGTGACAGCTGCTAGCACATGTCAGATGGTGCCCGTAATCTGTTTGTTGGTGCATCTTTATAAAAACACTGAAATTCGTTTATAAGTGTTTTTATGGAGCTATGTGGGTAGAGAGTAAATGTATTAGTATTTTCAGATTTTACAGGTAACTAGGGTTCATTTTTTTTTTATGCTTCTGATAAATCTCTGATGTTCTCCATCATAGTTTCTTTCAAGATGGCTTGAAAACGGCTGATAAATTGAAACAGTACATTGAGAAACTGGCTGCTGATTTATATAATGTAAGTATTTTATTAAATAAATGCATTTTAAGTTGCTTCTGTAGGTAAATATCAGTAAATTTGAAATCTGGATTAGAAGAGCTCTAAAGAAAAGAGGCAAGGATAAGTGATGTGTCAGTATAAACCTAGTGCAGGTAAGCCTCAGTTGAATTCAGAAGTCCTTAATGGATAAATAGTCTAAAGTATATTTTGGGGCACAGGAGGAACAGGGATATAATCATCGGTTCTGGATGGCCCTGCAGTCAGCACTTATAGAAAGAATGTTTAACCCTGGAAGGATAGAACCTAAGGCTGTCTCAGAGTAGGCAAGTTTATGAATTTTTGGAGGGGGGCTTGCTTCTATATTTTCTCTTTTGTCAGATATGTAGATTTTGCTTTTATGTTAGCAAAGTCACAAAAAACTTCTTTGAGAAAAAAACCTAAATGCCATTGTAGAAATGGCCAGTTTGTTCCCCATAATCTACTTGACACTGAATAATATTAAAAGTATGGCTTATGAGTATAACTACATAAGTTGAAAGAAGGTTTCAGAGTTACAAGTAATAACTTCTATTTTTTATGTAGCTTTAAAAACATATAGCTGGGGGCTCCTGTGTGGCTCAGTCAGTTGGGCATCTATCTGCCTTCAGCTCAGGTAGTGATCCCAGGATCCTAGGATTGCACGTCGAGCTTCTGCTTCTCCCTCTCCCCACTGCTTGTGCTCTCTCTCACTGTCTCTCTCTCAAACAAATAAAATTTTAAAAAATAATAGAATAAAAACACATAGCTGTGTATTTTTTCCAACTGTATTTTTTTTTAAGACTTTATTTATTTGAGAGAGAGCACAGCATGAGGGCCAAGGGAGGAGAAAAAGAAGCAGACTCCCTGCTAAGCAGGGAGCCCAATGCTGGGCTCTATCCCAAGACCCTGAGACCATGACTGGAGCTGAAGGCAGACACTTAAGACACTTAACCAACTGAGCTACCCAGACGCCCCCTAATTGTCTTTTAATAGTTAACATGATTCAGATTGCAATAAGCTCCAACTAATTAAAAAAAGCAGCACCAGTGCTTACCCCCTGGGTGCCACTGTGCAAACATATATATATATATATATATATATATATATATATATATATATATATATATTATTAGCACATTGAGTTCTGGTCCTTTTTAGCATTTTCTTTTGGCCCATTTAATCACATCATGGGATTCCTGCTACCATTCTTTGAAAAAAGCAGAAGCAAGTGACCCAGTGTTGTTTCTTAACTTTGTTTAAAATGGTACTTCAGAGTTATTTGCCTCACCTAGGTATATTATTTAATAAGAAAGCATTTTGCATTAAATCCCTAATTTCAGAACTCACTGATACTTTCATAAGGGGAGAAAATCCTGCCTTTTATATAAAAAAATGAAACTATGGAAAAGACTTTAATAAGAAAATCAACTATATAATTGAGCTGTTTGATGACTGATATATTTGGATGAATTAAACTCTGCTCATAAGTGTATGAAAGTGGTCAAAGTCATGTTTTTCTGCCACAGATAAAACAGACCCAGGATGAAGAAAAGAAGCAGCTAACCGCACTCCGGGACTTAATAAAATCCTCTCTTCAACTTGATCAGAAAGAAGTAGGTGATATGCATGTTTCCAACAGGGTTAACAGTATGAGTGTGCTGGCCTGGGCTGGTGTTTGTGTTTCCTGATCTGCAAAAAGGCATGTCACCAGTTTCCTGCCACCATGTTATGGGACAAATGAGATATAAGATACAAGTGCATACCTACTGCATTGCCCTGTGTAGCAACTGTGCTTTATTTCCCCTGCCCTCCTCGTACAAGATGTTTTTAACGCCCAAGCTCCAATGCCAGGACCCTAGATTTGCCATTCCAGCTTTGAAGACGTGTGCTTCAGAAATACTATGTCCTCTCAGGGTGAAGTGCACACCCATGTCCCCTCTAGGTCATCTGTCTGGGCAGCCAGAGGGGGGGCTGATGCAGAATCCTCTAGAATCATCTAGTAAGGAGCCGGCTAGTGGCTAGTCACATGAACCAGCAGTCATATCCTAAGTGGTATTGGTGCCAGAAGAAATCTGCTGGGAAGTGCCATGCCACAGAGGGAGGTTACGACCCTGAAGGTTCTCTTGACTAAGTGAAGACAGCCCTCTGGGTTTTCATCGAGCAGAGTTTCCAGCCCTTTCACCCTGGGCACCCAGTGGCCAGGAAGGTGTGGATCTATGTTGTCCAGGGCCTCAGCTAGCATGTGTACCTGTGTTTTGAGGCCTCTTTTGAAGGTGCTTGTTACTGGCATAGACATCCTAGGAGAGGTGGTCCCCTTGAATGTAAGAGCCATAGAAAGGCCCAAGAGGAAGGAGGGGAAGAAGTAGATTGTTGTGTAGGGAGAGAATCGCGAGGTTTTGTACTTACCGAAATGCGCTTAACCACTTCCTACCTTGCTTTGTCTTGCAGTATTACGACCATCCTGTATATGGAAACTTTCTTGGGGGGGGGGGGGACTTTTGCGGTCCCTTTTTGTTTTGCCTAGAGGCTGATGTAATCTCCCAGTTAGCTAAAGAACAGAATTGCATATAAGCTAGAGGAGTGTGTACATGATAAAATGCACATGATTTTATTTAAAGCCACCCCAAATTAGTAAATGATTGCCTGTTCATTAGCACCATGTCCTGAGTATTTTACAAGTAAAATTGATCTTTCACAGCATGCCTATTCCATCCCCATGCTGTTTATCATCTCTCATTGCAAAGTAAGGTTACTAGGTAATGATTTCTAATGACTCAAATAAGAAAGGAGACTGTCGACCTTAGAGTTCTTACCATAGCACTACTATTTGAGAAGACTATAAACTAATCTGATAAATGACCTGACAAATTAAAGCACCTAGGAAATTATTTAATCTCTCTACCCCTACCAGGTTCTAACTTGACTCTTTTAAACTCTTTGAAAGGACACTCCAAGAATGTGAGCTGTCAATAGGACAGCTCCCCACATTTTTGGTGGACTTGTTTTTTCTTGTCAAAATTCTTCATTGACTTCTGGCAGATGTCCTATGAAATAAATTATTGTAAGCTTTTGTAATAGCCTAACTTCCCAAGAGAACTGTTCGCTACCTATTTTTCGGGTTGAAAATATTTTATTTTTAATAATGATACCCGTAAATCTTGCCCAACATTCCACCATTTTGTTTGACTATCTCTCAATAGCCTATCATAGTGTGGTTTGCAAGGTGTTTAACAGATTCTGTGTTTTGCTCATCTCTGTCTCTGCAGTATCTGACACTATCTGGTACCCAAAAGCTACTCAATAAATATTTAGTAAGATGACACAGAAGGAATCCTTTGCCCATTCCATGTATCCCTTACATTAGAGATTTGAAGTTTCCATAGTTAGTAGAGGTTCCTTTTAGGTTGGATACCACAAATGTATATAACCCCCTTAAATCAGTGAGTAATTGCTTGCAGTTGAAAAAGATGTGAGATATTTTTACTCCTTAATAATTTTATATGTTAATATAGTTTTCTAAGAAGAAAGGAAGGTGATTGGTCCATATTGCTAATAGAGAATAAGGAATTGAACTAAAAATAATAACACCATGTTTCATTCTATAGTTTACATTTCTTGGCTCACATTATGGAATTTCTCCAAGGTTTTATTTTAAGTTCATTGTGTAAGTTTGGTTTTATATTTTTTGCCTGAATGAATTTCTCACTTGCATTTCTCTTTCCTGAAACCATGTTAATTTTTATTTTGCGTTCAAAGGATTCAGAACCTATTGCATTCCTTCCATTATGTTTTGTTTTGTTAATTATTATTAGTGTTAATTCTCCATGATTTATTCCCCCCCAAAAAAAACATTATCTTTCCGTTTATCTAAAGTTCCCTGCAGAAAGCAAGCTAAATGGCCATCAATTTTCAGAGTGTAGAATAATTGTAGGACACTTTAAGCCACAGAACTCATCAGTAGTTAATGTAGAGTTGTCAGTGGTATATTTCTGAAACGTGCTGCTTTTTTCCTGCTCAGCTTTATGGAGGCAGAGCCTGGAGGTCAGCCACTGTATTCACCTTTAAAAGCACATTTGTCTGATGTAAAGCAAGGTCCATTCAAGTTGTTATTCGGAACTTAAAGTTTATTTAGGCTAGTAGTAAATATGTGTAAGGAATGTCTTAGAGGCACATTTATAGAATGTGATCTTTTTTGGAAGTTATTAACATCCAAATCCTTGCTTTACAAAAACTAAGTACTCTTTATTTTTATTTTTTTTAGTACTCTTTATTTTTAAAACTTAAGTTTTAACTTAAATTAGCAAACAGACCGTTAGAGGTGCATAATAGTTTTAAAGCATTCAAACCAACCTAGAAATTATATGGGCGGACAAAGAGCAGTTCCATTCACTGGAAAGCATTCCAAGGAACAGAGTTATTCTTTTAATATGAATTTTTATCTAGGGAGATTTCAGATTTTGTTTTTAATGCTGCGGGGAGGTAGAGATGTGGGAACAATCCCTGATTCCAGATCCAGAGTTGAGTGGTTTTCACGCATTGTCATTGGGTGGAAGCAGAAAGCTCCGTGGATTTCATTTATCCCAGCCTCTTGTTTTTGTCCCATGCCTCAGTTCTCCACCACCTAATCTAATCTTCCGTCCTCATTGTTCTTTATTAGTATTATGGACACGTTGCTGCCTCCTTCAAGAGAACTGTGTGTGTTGCTGCTGTTTTGGGGGGCTGTCACAGAGGCGCTGGTGGAGGATGATCTGTAGCAGAGTCCTGCAGTCACATCTCCGTCCACAAAGCCTGAAAGTGGCTCTCAGGGAGGACTTAGGAGCCAAGTTACTATAAGTGCAAGGCTGTGGGCCCTGATTAGAAGTAAACATGTAGAAGAATTTCTAAAGAGATTCGAAAGCCCAACCCACTCCCTACCACTCCCCAGATGATTGAAATGGTGCCTTTAGATGTTTCAGCTGGAGGGAGTCTGGCCAGTTAAAGACAAAAGACTTAGATTTAAGGACATGACTAGAGCCTGTAACCTCTTCAGGGTGAGTCTGCTTGCGTGGTAAAGCAAGCATTCAGGGTTGTTACCCCTTCACGAGGGAGCAGAGAGATGCATGGTCAGTGTTGCACATGCCCACCTCGGGGACAGGGGTCTGTGCCCCCACTCCGTGTCCTCAGTGCCTTCCCGGAACATACCACTTGGGTGTTCAGGGTGTGATTTTTTTTTTAAACATTTTATTTGGGGATCCCTGGGTGGCTCAGGGTTTGGCGCCTGCCTTTGGCCCAGGGCCTGATCCTGGAGTCCCAGGATCGAGTCCCGTGTCGGGCTCCCGGCATGGAGCCTGCTTCTCCCTCCTCCTGTGTCTCTGCCTCTCTCTCTCTCTATGTCTATCATAAAATAAATAAATAAATCTTTAAAAAAAAATAAAAATAAAACATTTTATTTATTTATTCATGAGCGACACAGAGAGAGGCCGTCCTGACCCTGAAGGGATCTCATACACTGGCCATCTGTAATAACCGGTGGCTAAAATCACTTCCGGTTCTTTACGTTGCAGGTGTTGCTTCTGAACTGGATTATTTTTGTTATGTTCTCTTTGCTTGGAAAACTAAATAAGAATCCTGCTACAACTTTTGGTTCCTTTTAGATTTTCTAAAGTAATCTGGGTTTCGCTGAGGTGTTGGATTCCCTAGACACACACTTGGAAGTTTGTCACCTACTTTGTCTTGGTGAAGTGTGTACCTCATATTCTTCCGGGCGGGTTTTCTTCTGTTTTCACGCAACCTAAAATAAAAGTTGACGAATAAAACATCGTTTTATTGTCTCATCACCTGAAGTTTATCATGATTCTGAAGGTAGCGTGTGTTCAGGTGTTAATTATCTTTACAGTGGTGTTTTCTCTGTTATAAAAAGTGCTTAAATCATGAGCTATGACTATCCATGAAATTAACTATGTTTTCAACTGTTCTGCCTTTTTTTTCTGTTGCTTTTGCCCTTCCTGATCGAAGTCTAGGAGAGTAAGTCAACACTTTCCGTGAGAATGCATTGTCCTACGTCTGTGTTCTAAACCTCTAAACCCCATGTTCTCATCCTGTAGTTTGCCATTGTCAGTTTATTTCCAACATTTTCAATGTGGAATGGCTGTATCTAGTCATTACAGTCTTTAGGAACAGTGGGGGAAGTATCAACAGAGTGCTAGTGTTAACTTTAGCTGGTTTGCATCTGTCTTGTTCTGGTCCTGGTCACCCTTTTACCCCACCATACACTTTTCATGACCAGAGAATCCTCTTTTTTAATTAAAAGCATGCTCGACAGCTTATTTTACAGAGCCCTTGTTTAGTTACAAGCCAGGGATTTCTAACAATTCCCAGAACCTCACTGAGAAGGTGCACTTTTTATTGTGGGTATTTTAGCAGAATATGTGAAGAGAGAGAAGGTGTGCCTGAGGGAAGAATGCATTCAGGTTGCATGCACTTCATCTGTGAGCCTCTTAAGATCTTTCTGCCTTCCCTGTGCTCATCTCTGCTGCCCATAGAACCTGGTTCAGTCCCACGACACCCTGCCACTGCAAAGGGTTGAAAGCAGAGCCGGGGTCCCAAACTAGAAATGAGTTCTGGGACAGGCCCCAGCCTCAGACTTGCCTGTGACTCTGGTGGTTGTTTCCCCGGTCCAGTTTCCTCTGAAACAAAGGCAAGAACCTGACGGCCCGTAAAGGTCCATAATTCTCTCCCCCCACTGAACGGTGCACAGAGACCCAATGGCAGAACAGAGTCAAGCACTTGAGAAGTGTGTCCAGCATCCGTCTAATCTGTGGCTTCTCCTTTCTAGGATTCCCAGAGCCGGCAAGGAGGGTACAGCATGCATCAGCTGCAGGGCAATAAGGAATATGGCAGTGAAAAGAAGGGTTACCTGCTGAAGAAGAGCGATGGGTACGTGTAAGCTGTCCAGGTGTCCCTGTGCGCTTAGCACTTCCTGGGTGTTAGCACCCTAGCAGCTTACCACCTGCCAGCCAGGAGAACATCCTCAGAGTTGTCTAATGTGCTGGCTTCCAACCTTGAGCCCACTGGTTCTCTTCAGGTGGTTTAAGCTGCTGTCTGGACAGGAAGCAGGCCCCACCCTGTGGGCCATATGTGACACAAGGGGCGTGCCGTCTCAGGAAGGCAGATGCTAAGTGGATGGGGAAGCAAGCCAGTGGCTGGAAGACTTCATGCTCGCCATGATTTGACTCATCGCCCTTTTCTCTACTGGGGGGGCCTACCTGGCCACCCAAACCCAGCCTTGGAGATCAACTCTGAGTCCCCACCTTCCTCTTACTTCACAGCCAGTGTCATTAACAAGCTTTTCCATTGCTAACAGGACATAATGCATTTCTTGCCATCTCTGCTGCCCTGCATGCGGAGGAACCACTGCTGTCTCTCCTGGAATATTCAAGTAGCCCGCTAACTGGCCTCTCTGTGTCTCTCCCTCTTCTCCATTGCTTCTCTACACAGCACCTAGAGTAGCCTCTAAAAAACATAAAGCACGGCAGGTCATGCCCATGCTTGACGTGCATGCAGGGTCTGACGCCTTCTTCTATCTCCAGCCTCGTCTTAGACTGTCTCCTGCCCTGGCCCTGCCACACCGGCTTCTTTCCATTGCTGCAGTAGTGATTCTGCTTCACAATAAGTGCATAAGTAGAATCTTAATTATTCGCTTTACTAACTGTCCTTCTTTTTGAAATAAACCTTCTTGTTTTCTGATTGCTTGTAGGTATTTACCTCCTTGACTGTATCTAAGACATAGACATTTTTTTTGTTTATTAAAATTTTAACCATTACTTCTATAAATTACAGTCCTAAACTTCTGATCATAATCATTTTTGGTTGTCATTCTACTCAAGCATCCAACAAATGTCTTTTGGGAGTTTTAATACATGTCAAACACTGTTAGAGACACCTGGGAATATAGCATTGAACAAGAAAGATAAGGAAGTCCTTAGCCTCACAGAGCTTACATTGTTAGATAAGAACTATATGGGAGGTCAGATGGTCACAAGAGTCACAAGCAAGGCAGGGGATTCTGGGCATGTAGGAGTGGTCCTTGCAGTCATACAGGCTGGGCAGGGAAGACTTCAGTGAGGAGATGTTTGGTCAAAGACTTGAATCATCTCTACAAAGAGGATCATCTTTACAGAGATATATTGGGGATGATCCCCTCAGATCTCTGTGGAGATGGCCAGGAACATGCTTCTCATTGTGATAGGAGGAGTTAGGCAGAGCTAGGGCAGAGTGAGGACCTGGGGGGGTCACAGGAGACAAGGTTAGAGGGAGGAGGACACCAAGCCAGGAGGGCTTTGGAAGCCACTAGTGAAAGATGAGAATCATTGGAGAGTCTGAAGCAGAAGAATGCCATAATTTGACTCATTCGAAAGTGTCTCTCACTGCCCAGCTGAGAATAGCCATGTAGGATATAAGAGCAGAAGCAGGAGGCTGGGTCACAAGTGAACAGGGATCAAGGGAACAGCCACAGAGGGGTAAGAAGGAGTCAGAGTCTAGATAATGCAGGTAGGACCACCAGAATTTGTAGATCGGGGTGTAGAGAAAAGCATCCTAGCATATAGCACAGCACCTGTTTTTTTTAGAAAATCAGTGAATGTTGGCTGTTAAGTCTTGCAAAAAGTAAAAGAAGAAAAGAAACACCAGTTACCATAATCAGTATTAAACTGGACTCTCTCAACAGACACAGTGACCAAATTGTAGCCCCAATGGCAGGGGTATCTAGTAGACATAAATTATTATAGTTTTAACACTACTCACCTAAAAGACACAATGGTTTTCTTGACATCAGAATTGACTGTTTCTAAGTGAAGTGATTAGTCTCTAACTGTTCATGAAAAGTCAACAGGGTCTTTGTGTAGATATTGTTTGGTTCAAACCCTAAAATGTTGAGGGGAAGCATCACCTTGTGAGCCTGTGCTGTGTGCCTGCCAGAGCTCTCATTCAAGCCAACACATCCAGAGAGGTTGCATAATTTGACTAAGATCCTACAGCCAGCAAGAAAGCCCAAATTCTAACCTGGGTCTTAGGACTTAATGCCGGGTATCTCCCCTTCATATTTCAAAGAAATATCAACTGCTGTTGATTGTCCTTGGGGTACGCAAGGCATTAGCTGGCATACACATGCCTGACTCCATTCTGCTGGTCTGTTCTTCATTCATGCACTCATTCCACACACATTTATTAAGCCCTGTAGTGTTTCAGGCAGTCTGCTGGGTGCTGGAAGGCTTTTACCTTACAAGAGAGGTGGGCCTCACCCGAGCCTTGCCTACAGTCTGTTAGGAAGAGATAAGGAAAGCACTCTTGCTAAGGAGGCTGGAAGTCCAGTGGGCCAGCCTCCCGTAATTGCATGGGCTGCAGAGGGTGAATGAAGATAACCCAGAGTGGCCTGTCACTGGTATCTCTGGAAGAGAAAAGAACTGAAATGCTTCTACATGGAGACAGACTCACTTGCTAACAATGACTGCCCTTTGTGTCATGTGTTTTTTCTCCTAAGGATCATTTGCTTTAGTAATTTTCGAGCCTAGTTCTGGAATACTCTTTGTTACTTAAAGGATTGTTAGGCAATTTGAAAAACACTTTAAATTTTTTTAAAGTAATTTTAAAGCTTTATGACCCAGAGGCACTCATTGAGAGGCAAAGGAGTAATTGTTTTACATTTATTTTCTCAAAATAGCCCTAGAGGATGGGCATTAATATCTTCATGATGCAGATTAGGCAAGCAAGGCTTCAGGAGGTCATTTACGTGAACACAGTCCCATGGTTGGTGGGTGATGGTGCTGGGATTGAAGCCCAAGTAATCGAGCATCAGAACTGGTACTTGTGTAGTTATAATAGGCCATCTTCTAATAGAAAGTTCCTTTTCTGAAATTCTGAGGTTAGGGCATGGTGTAACTGGTGTTGTCTCTGGCACTATCTGAATAGATGGTAAAAGTCCTTGGTATGTCCATTCAGGAGCTTTTCAGGCAAGCATCCTTAAAACTTTGGGTTCAGAGAGAAAAGCACAGGCGTTGAGGCAGTCCCTAGAAATCTCAGGAATAAAAGCTCTCAAAGTGTACAGAGATGGGACTGTACAAAGGATTGACTTGATTTTGCTCCCTTTTGCCTGGTGACCTGGGGGCACCACATGAGCAATGTCTATTAGCCGAGAAAGATTACTGCTTTGTGTTTTCCCTTGGCTTTATTACTAATACAAAAGAATACGGTTTTGTATTTGATTTTGTGTTTCCTTAATCCACATGTGGAAAAAAATTAAAAAATTAAGGACTAAAGATTTTGCTAAGTAAAATGAATAAACTGAGTTGCAACAATTTCCAAAAGATTGACTAATTTGTTAGGTTGATTGGTTGATATCTTAAAATGTGTTGAGAGAGGAGGATGACACTCCCTTGGGCTTTAGTGTGTACAGGAAACACCTACCCATCTAGCAGGCTTTTAGAAGGGTAAGGTGGGATGCAAAACTGCTGCGGCATTGGTTATGTTAACCAGATGCAGGTATGATCGTGGGACAGATGTCACCTCTTGTCCCCCATTTCCCTAGTCAGTGATGCAGCTGTAATTCAAGGGTGTTTTATAATTGGTAGTTCTGCATTATGTCCTGAAGATACTAGCAGTGTGTACCGTTTGCTTTTGCTCAGATGGTATCAGATTCTTGTTTCCTAGGGCCCCTGGGTGGCTCAGTTGGTTAATAAGCATCTGCCTTCGGCTCAGGTCATAATCTCAGGATCCTGGGATTGAGCTCTGCCAGGGGCTCCCTGCCTCCCCCTCCCTCTCCATCTGCCCCCCTGCACTTGTGCTTGTGTGCTCTTTCTCTCTCAGATAAATAAATAAAATCTTAAGAGAAAAAGGTCCTTATTTCCCGCGTGAAGCATGTAGAATAAACTGTGCTACTAGCAGTAACATACACAAGAAGACAACATTATCTGTGTTCAGAGTTGGCTTTAAATTCATATTGCAGCAGGTTTCTTACAGGACTCATTTAAGAGGGGGAAGGACACATACAGTGATCTTATTTTAAATGCCCAGGAGAAGCAACAACCCTCTCCTGTGATGTTGTCTGTTTCCATAAGAAGCCTTCTCCTAGCCCAGGGAATCGCTGTTCCCTGTACGTGTCTGTTTTTTCAGGGAGATGCTCTGAACTAGTACATTTGTACCTGCCTGCACATGTGCAGATGCACCTCACAAAGGCTCACCTGGACCTGGACCATCCTCCAAAAAAAGCTTCCAAGTTGAAAGGAGTTCTCTTTGACTTTTTCTGACAAGTGTCAACCTTCCCAAAGAGAGGTGTACACATTGCCAAAAATGTTGATCCATGACTCAGAGCTCCTTTCTCTATAGCCTGAGGCAGCCTCGCCCCTACTCCTCTATGCCTGACCGGTGTCTTGAGTTAACTTTCTTAACTTCTTTAGCTTTCATTTTAATTACAGAAGCAATAGACTAATACAGCCTTCTTGTAGATGAGTCACAGATACGGTTAAAAACTCTTTAGTAGCACCCCTCATACAGGTCTGGGCCTCATTCGCAGAGATGGTGAGTGTACGTGCCTCTTTCCAGACCCTATTCTGTTTATTTGTACATATATTTACATCCCCATAGAAAATGTAGAGCACCATTTTATATGTGGTATCTTTTGGGTTTTGTGTTTTTTTTTAACATTACTAGATCATACCTGAATTCTTTTAAAACAGCTTGCTTTTTTCAATCAATATAGTAGCCTTTAGAAATGTGTATCAGCACACACACATAGTTAATTGATTCTTTTAAACTCCTACATTCTAGTCCATAGTATGAATGTAACTGTAATGCGTTTATTCATTCTCCTGCTATTAGACTTCTGGTGTTTCCCACTCCACTATCAAAAACAGTATTATCCGGCAGCCCGGGTGGCTCAGCGGTTTAGCGGCCCAGGGCCTGATCCTGGAGACCCAGGATCGAGTCCCACGTCGTCCGGCTCCCTGCATGGAGCTTCCTTCTCCCTCTGCCTGTGTCTCTGCCTCTCTCTCTGTGTCTCATGAATAAATAAGTAAAATTAAAAAAAAAAAACAGTATTATTGTGAGCCTCCTTGTATATGCCTTCTAGTCTGAACTGCCTTCCACCTGGAATAATAAAAGTGATAACAAAATGTGCTGGGGTTTTGGGGTTTGGGGTGGTTTTGTGGTGACTGTTTTATAATGATTGTCATACATACCACGATACGATTGCATGCCACAGAGTGAACCAGCTGCTGTATCAGATTGTGTTTGACTTGTTTTAGGCTCCGGAAAGTGTGGCAGAGGAGGAAGTGCGCTGTCAAGAACGGGATTCTGACCATCTCACACGCCACGGTAAGCATGTCTGCTAATTTACTGTGTTGTGCCTGTAAGGCCTTTGGCCACATGGACTAGAAAGCAAAAATGTGATGTAACCAGCACTGAAGTTTCCCCCAGGTATGTGTACTGTATGGATTTGGGTCAGATAGAGTAGGATATTCCTTTACAGAAGGAATTGGTCTTGTCCTGAGGTGTCCTGCCTCATTCTCTTGCCCTTCCAGAATGTCTCATGTTTGTTCCCTCAACCAAATGAGGTATTCTGTTCTGTTATCTTATAATCTTATCTTTTGGGAAATGTTATTGGTGTTTGTGGAAAAAAACCTAGTTCTCTGAATTATAAAGATGACAGGAGATGTTTTTTGCATGAAATAATAATTAGGAAATGAAATAATATGTATATAGTATGTTCATTGTTTTTTGTTTTTTACTATTTAAATCACTCTGGAAATCCATCATTATGTTAAAGAGCTAAAATGTATATAAATAAGATAGCGAAATAATAAAATGGCCTCAATTGTGACTCCCCTTTCTTTAGGAATAAAGGCAATTCCATGGAAAGAGAAAATAAGCTACTAACATTTGCATTCTGTTTTCTCTTCAGATTGTCAGTTATATATGCATATATATTGCATATATATTGCATCCTTACAGTTGACACTGGAAGTCTAGCTAGAATTTTTATGTTTTGTATCACCCATTTTCAACTACAAGTCCTGTACTGGGAGAATTCATATGCTGTCAGAAAAGGTTCAGTCTGGTGGTAGTCAAGGACATGTGCCAGAAAATAAGTAATTACTATTTTGCCCTTTTAACACTAGCAAGAAATTACTTTTTGTTCTGAATGATGTAAAGATTAGAATGGAAAGTGTATCAAGCAGGACTGGAAACAGCTCAGTGTACTGAGAGTCTCTACAAAGGTCTATGCAGTTAAACCCAGCAATCCCAGCTTGGAGGGAAGCTTCAGTATCCTGTGCCAAGTAATGTCTTTGAATTTATGATAAGCAGTTAATTGCTAACAGGATGGTAAAAATAAAGGATGAGCATTTATTACACTGGCAAGTTTTCATGATTCACAGTCGAGATTAGATTTCCCTCTGTTAAAAAAAAAAAATATTTCCCTCTGTTGAGTAAGAAGTACCACTGAATAAGCACTTCTTCCTACCAGACACTTCATAAAATTTATTTCACTTAATCCCTTCTATAGCCCATGTGGTAATCTGACCTTCATTTTGCAGATGAAGAAACTAAAGTACAGAGAAGCCCAATGACTGATTGGGGTTTGACATTACTCCATATGCCCCTTCCATTCTGCCCCTCTTCCTGCAGGACCCTCTCATCCTACTAGACTGTATGCTCTCTTGGGGCATTTACTAGGTCCTGTTCATCTTTCTTTTTTTGCACACTCCCTCTCCACTGACCTTGACACATGGAAGTCAGTACATACCTGTGGCCAAAACCCTCCTGCTGGAAGATTCCATGCATCTTAACAATTATTGGACTCTATGGAACTTGAGCAATTACATTATCTCTGTCCTTTGCTCCTTGCAGAGCCCTTGGAGTGATTCCTCAGAAGTCCTTAGTTTCCCTCAGCCCAACAGAGATTTTTAAACTATCATGCCAGTTGTGACAAGCCACCCATCTGCTCCTGGAAATCCTGCAGGCAGACTTAGATCAGTTAGTAATTATCACTGAGGCTAACAATTATTCATTTATCTAGCAACGTTTCATGAAGCTTCCACTCCAGGTGCTGTACTGGGCATCACAGATACATGGAAAATGAGTTAATTTTGACCTGCTCATTTTCAATTCCATGCACAGTTACCTTATGAAATGGTTCTGTCAGTCACAATAATATTAGTTACCACTAAGTGAGCACTTACTGTGAGCCAGGTTGTATGAAATGCTTTACGTGTATGACCATAGGTAGTTGTTGCCACAACCCACCAGACAGATGCTATTACTAAGAGAGGTTAGGTAATGTGCCCACCTCACAACCAGTGAATGCTGGGATTTCAGTCTTAAAGCCTCCATGAGTGCTTAATGGTCAGTGTTTGCTGGCCAAGCAGGGACCTACTCTGCTCATTATGTTGATTAAATACTCAGGGATCTGTTTCAGAAGAATTCCAGTCACATGATTCAAGATCAGAAATACTGATGGGCTATTCCCATCAATATTGGCACTGATGAGTATTGGCATTGATGATGGATGGCATTATTGAGTATTCTCCATCAGTTGGGCATTCATTGTTCTGAGGACATTACCACAATCTGTTTTATGTAGCTTCTTTTGCTCCTATTTGATAGACAATGAAACAGTTTCCATTTCTAGGCCATGTTTCTCTCTATGAGAGTGAAGATTCCCACCATCTGATTTTTCCTTACTATCACACCTTCATCACTATCAACACCACCACCATCATCACCACCGCCGTCATCACCAACAGCACCATTGCCATCATTGTGGCTGATATTGTTGAATGCTCACTAGGTGATAGGCATTCATCAGCTCAGTGCATTGTAACATTTAATCCTCACAACAACTTAAGTTATAGGCAGTGTCACCTCCACTTTTCAGATGAGGAAGCTGGGATTCAGAGAAGTTCACTTAACAGGTTACATTGCTAACAAGTGGCACAGCTAGGAATCTGATATAGGTTAGGATTCTGCTCTAATACCCTCCCACACACTCCAGAACATTCTCTCCTCCTCAGTTGCAACTCTAGTTCCTCCCCAGCATGGGATCCTAGCTTAGGCCATCACAAACATAGTTAGCCCTAAACTAGGAGTGCCTAGGAGTCCGTGTGTGAAAAAAAGCACGTACCTACATGTGCAAGCTAGAATTCTTTGATGGCCCGAAGTAGGGTGTGAATCCTGGGAGGTGGTTCATTCATAAGAACAATACAGCCCTGCACTTCTGTAATAAAAACTAGTACGGCCTCTCCTGGGTCGGTATCCTGACTCTTGGGGAGCTGCAGGGTTGACCTGTCTCTGGGCAAGTTCCAGAGTTATCCAGGGTTTTCAAATCCTAAACCCCTACAGCAGCTAGAATGGCGCTCCTCAAGTATCTAGTGTCATGAGAGGTGTTTGAGCTGCAGCTCTGCGTGGTATAGCTGGAACATGAGATCGGCAGTTGCCTGGATGTGATCATGCTTGTTCTTCATTCAGCTTTCCTGAGCCAGATTTGTGTCTGATTACTGTCTGATTTTATTAGCTGAGTTGGGCCTAAGTGGTGTGAGTCTGAGCAGAGACAAAACCCAGAAAAGACCCAAGAAACTCCTCTACCCCCAGGGAATATTCTTTGGGTTAAATATACTACAGTGAAAATTTCTGCCCATTTGACTTTATGTAGATTGGGAGCTTTTAGTCAAAGATTTGCTACATGTACCCTTTCTTTACTCTCTTTTTCCCTTAGATTCATTTGGCTATGACAGTTCTCAATAAGCATTTTGACAAGTTCTATGACCTTATTACGTCTCATCGACTTGTGTTTCTTAAGAACCTGCAGTGGGAGGCAGTGCATGTGAGGAAATCATGGAGTTAATGGAGTTGAATCAGTGGTAGTGATTGCTAAAAATAAAAAATAAGTTCTCTTCCACCTTCTTTTCTTCCTGCCGTACACATAGCTGTGGCCCAGTGTCAGTGCTTTATTAAGGCTCTAATCCACAACAGGTATCTCATCAGCCACATTATTCAGTGGCCATGAGAAAGGACTGTGGCATCTGTCAGATATGAGCCTGAATCCCACCTTTGTCATTTACTGAGTGACCTTGAGAAAAGTATTTGGCTCATATACATTATAGTGGGGATAAAATGAGATAATGGACTGTGTGTGAGCATCCAGTTAACAGGAGTCATTGATGTTAGCATTGCCTCATTGGCTCTCCTGGTGATACTGAAATCTGCCAATGGGCAGGCTCTGCTGCTGCAAACATTAGAAATTTTGGGTCCACCTCTCCTGCCCCCAGAGCAGCCCCGGGGGTAAATGGGTTCCTCCACCTAACTTCAGATTCTCTCCCACTGGTTGGTGTTATTCTGTTCCCCACTTTTCACTGGCTTTGAGCCACACTCTTTTGCAGCCAGTGACATCACGCGTAGTCCCATCCCTGCTTCCACAGAAAGGTCTCCAGAGCCACTTTTCCTGACTTTGCAAACACTATTGATTCCTGAGAATCCAATTGAAAATCAAGTCTAGGAGCTTCCTGGGAAAGCATGGTATTGAGTCATCTTTGGAAAAGTGGATAAAAGAACCCTTGTTTTCACAAAATTTAGGGCCTTTGTTTGGGACCCCTTACCAAATGGGAATTCATCCCATTTGAAGGGCCCCAGTTGGTGTCACCTATCAAAGTGACTCAGAAGAGGGTCAAGCATGCATTTAGATGGATTTGGCATGGTCTTTTGGGTTGACCATTCGTGAATGATCTGCGCCAGGGGCCAGTCATCTCCTCAGCTTACTATTCAAGGAAGAAATACATTTCTCTGCGTACCTGCAAGGTGGGCAATGTGCCCTACAAGAGTTAGTCTGCAAAACACTGCTTTTCATATGTCTGTTGAAAGACATACATTTTTTTTATTACATCCCTATGGGGATCAGATTCAGTGAGAGTCTCTGAATTTGCTATCACAATAATGTTGATAGTGGCTCCCATTTATGGGCCATCTAGTGTGCTCGGAGCAAGGTATAAAATGCTTTAATTTTGAAATACCAATTCTAAGAAATCTCCGACAAACATTTAAGTCGGCCTCAAAGCTTAAGGATAAAGAAGTTTATATCAAGTCACTAAACGATTATAAATAAATGTCTATATTTTTGAATTATTTGCTTGCCCTTTTCAGTGTAAGCATTATAGTATATAATAAAACTAATAAAGCAAACTATGAAAGAATATAAGAATTATAGTTGAAGTGAAAAATTAATGTCAAAAGCATAAGAAGTTTTGCTTCTCAAAAACCCTTATTTGCTGAATTTATTAACCTCAGCATCACATACAGTTCAGAAAACAGGTTGAAAAGAGAAA